CGTTTTGGGGTGGTTTGGAAGGTACAAACGGTAACCGGAACACCAGAGGACTCGCTTGGACCAGTGGAAGGTGGTGCTGATTCTGTGGAGCCCGGGCTTTAAGAGCATCACGTGTCCCTAACCATCCCCCTGCCCCCTCGGCAGTCTCTGACTTCTGCCAAGAGACAAAAATGCCCTCAGTGCCCGCAGCTCCCAGAACAAGGAGACACATGGAATCACTTTGAACCCAACTCTTGTGGGTTGAGTCACGTCTCCTCTGAATTCGTTATGTTGAAGCCCTAACTTCAGAATGTGAGGGTATTTGGAGATAGGAATTTTAAAGAGGTAACGAAGTTAAAATGAGGTCATTAGGAAAGGCCTTAACCCAAGCTGACGGGCGTGTCTGTAAGCAGAGGAAATCTGGACATACAAAGAGACACCAGGGACGTGCATGCAGAAAGGAAAGAACATGTGAGGACATAGCAGGAAGGTGGCTTTGCAAGCCAAAGAGAGACGCAACAGGAGAGACCAATCCTGCCAACATCTTGGACTTGGAGCCTCCGGAACTGTGAGAAAATACAGTTTTCTGTTGTTTAAGCCACTCAGTCTGTAGTATTTTGTCACGGCAGCCTGTGATATTGTGATCTATACTAAGAAATCTACCTATTTGGCTCCTGGCACAGAGCTTCTGAAACCGTTGGAATTTCCTGAAGTGGTGAGAGCCACAAAGGTGTCTCTTGTTATGTCAATGGTGTGATTTTTTTTTTTTTTTTTTTTTTGGACCCCATCTTGGGACGGGTTGCCCAGAGAACAAACCACAGGATTAGAGGGTTGGACTTTCAGTTCCCACACACCCCGCCCCCAACCCCATCCCACTCCTGGGGAGGGAGAGGGGGCCCCCCCGGAGGTTGAATCAATCCCCAATGGCCAATTATTTCATCGATCATGGCTATGTAATGAAGCCTCCATAAACCCCCAGAAGGACAGGGTTCGGAGAGCTGCTGGACTGGTGAGCACGTGGAGATGTGATGACAGCAATGCCCGGACAGGACATGGCAGCTCTATGCCTTTCCCCATGCTCTCTTCCATCTGGCTCTTCCTGAGTTATGTCCTTTTATAAGAAACTGGTAATCCAGTGAGTAAGTGGGTTTCCCAAGTTCCGTGAGGTGTGCTGGTAAATTAATCAAACTCAAGGAGGGGGTCGTGGGATCCTCCGACTTATAGCCAGTCCATCAAAAGTGCAGGTAACAACCTGGGCTTGGCCTTGGGGGGGTCTTAAAGTAGGAGGCGGGGCAGTCTCGCAGGACCGAACCCTTAACCTGTGGAAGCTGACGCTATTTCCAAATACACAGTGTCCGAATTGAGTTGAATTTTCATACACCCACCTGGCGTCCAGGGAATTGTTTAGTGGGTCCAGGAACCTAAAAGACGCCCCAGAAAACCAAAGTATTAACCCGCAGTCCGGAACTAAACCTGGCTGATCCCGGCAGAGCCTCAGCCAACCCACAAGCCCATGAAAGTAGAAATAAATGCTCAACGTTGTGAGTCACCAAGTTTTGGGGGTTGTTACACAGCATTACTGCAGGCGAAAAAACTGACGAGTTTAACATCTGATTTGTTTGCCTTGGCCGAGGGGCTGGGTCAGAACAATGAGGTCAAAATGTACTGCTGACCATTTCTGTAGCTAATACCCCATGAGCCTCCAGCTGGCTGAGCCCGTATCAGTCCTGCCCAGCTGGCTGGGGGATCTGGAGGGCAGGGCTCCTGTCGGCCCCGTCTCTGGATCCCTAGCATCTCTCATGCTAAGGCAGTGGCTAATACAATGGGTCTCTCATACCACACAGAGCCCAGGACCAGGCAGTTGCCTTTCAGATAAAAACCAAATCGATGTGCAAGACTCCCCATACTCTGGCCCCAACACACTCCCCCAGCTCCATCTTTCCCTGCTTTCCCCCACATGTGTCTCTTCGGTGGGGGCAGCAGGGCCTACAAAGCCCGGTGTGAGTCTCCTACTCCCCCACCCGTCCTAGTCCAGATCTTCCTTCTCTTCTGTGTGATAGCCCAACGGGCTTCCTTTATTTCCTCTATCATGCCGTGGTCCTCACTACCACAGGGCCTTTGCACATGCTTTTCTCTGCCTAGAATGCTGTTCTACCACCCCTGTTACCTAGTTATGAGTCACCTTCCATATCTCAAGTCTGAGGACACTTCCTCGGGGAAGCCGCCTCCGACTTCTCTAGATGAGTGCAGTTTCCCTCTGTTGGTCAATTCAACCAGGTACCGCTTCATCTTAGCATTCATTTGTACTATAACTTATTAAAGTGGCCATCTGGCTAATGTCTGTCTCCCCATTGCAGCATGTCAGATTCATAAGGACCCGGAATTCATGACACTTGAATGAGGTCTCATTCGCTCTGTACCCCCCTGGCACACAGTGGATGCAAATAACTATTTGGTGATTGAATAAATATTGTTGTCCTGACTGCCCTGTTAAATGCCTCCAATGCCATCGAGGGTGTCCATGGAGATGTGCTGTTCGGGTCTCTCTTTGAGAGAACCTGCTGTAAGGTGGGTGGTATGACCACTTCCTGCCACTGCTCTTTCAGAAGTGCTGCAGTGCTCGCACGCTGAGGCTACTGTCCCCCAGGGCTGCTCCCTGCTGAGGACGGAGCACAGGGGTGTTATTAGGGAGGAGTCCCTTTCGGCCAACACAGGACTCCCCTAATGGATATTTTTTGCTCTGGGGCTCCCCACTGGCCTGGCCGAGACTGTCACAAAGATGCTGCGCGGCTATCGACCTCTCGCTTCTCGGCTCCAAATTCACCCTTCAGTACCTGCTCTGCCATAATGATCTGGACTCGGCATTTCCTCCTTTACAGTGAGACGCTAAGCTTTTTGCCAGGAGAGGGTGCTGGAGGGGACATTTCAGGAGGAAAGGCTTCTCTTTCTGGTTCTGGGATGTGTGTGTGTGTGTGTGTGTGTGTGTGCACGTGCACGGCCGTGTGATTAGTCAGCAGTGTGTGAGGATGCCCGGCGATGATCTGCCACAGCCACGAGCTCAGTGTTCACAGTCTCTCAGCACCTTGCAGCCCTCGGGCCTAAGGACCATCTTCTTGCAACGCTCCTAATGCAGATACCACATGCTCCAAGTCTCACATCTGCAAAGGTGCCCCAATCCCACCTGCCCACCAGCCTCGGCTCCCTCGGGCCTCTGAGGGTTGCTTCTTGCCCGCCCGCTGACTACGGACCAGCTCTGGTCCGGGTGACCCAGCAAAGTTCCTTGCACTGCCCTGGGCTTCAACCACACCTGCTCCAATGAGGTCTAAACCCCAGCTTGGGGAAGGCACTCCACTTCCAAGTTCAACCCTCCCTGGGTGCTCTCGGTAGGATAGCTGTCACTGCTCTCTTTACATCTTTGTAGAGTCGCTCGCTTGCTTATGCTGACGACTTCCTATTAAACAGCGCCGTTTGCGTTCCTGTGTGGTTTCCGACTCAGACGGAGACAGCACAGTAGAGTCTGAGGCTCTCCCTCCCCTGCCCTCCTTCCTCCCTCCCCTCCTCCCGCAGAGCTCAGACCTGCACCACTGCGCCGCTGTCTGAAGGTTCTCGACACCTGCTCCCGCTCCCTCTCTTCTCTATCCTTCACAGACATCAGCCCCTTAAATCTCCACGTTTAATTCCTTCTTGGCATTTGCTTCTCGGAGGTCTTCACACTTAGAATAAAACCCCACGGGGGCGCCTGGCTGGCTTCCCCCAGGCAAGTCAGTAGAGCACATGACTTGATCTCAGGGTCGTGAGTTCAAGCCCCATGGTGGGCACGGAGAAATAAATAAATAAATAAATAAATAAATAAGAAAGACTAAAACCCCGTGAGGCCCCGTATAATCTGCACACACCTTCCTGCTATTCTCTAAGTCATTCCGCTATAGCCCCTGTGGCCTCTGTGAGGTCCCCCACACGGACCAGAATCCCACCTCGGAGTCTTTGCCCTTGCTCTTCTGTCTTTTTATTTTTTTAAGATTTTATTTTGGGGGCGTTTGGGCGGCTCAGTCGGTTAAGCGTCCAACTTCGGCTCAGGTCACGATCTCACAGTTCGTGGGTTCGAGCCCCGTGTCGGGCTCTGTGCTGACAGCTCAGAGCCTGGAGCCTGCTTCGGATTCTGCGTCTCCCCCTCTCTGCCCCTCCCCCACTCACGCTCTGTCTCTCTCTCTCTCTCTCTCTCTCAGAAATAAACAAACATTAAAAAAAATTTTTTTCAAGATTTTAAGTGATCTCTACACCCAATGTGGGGCTCGAACTCACAACCCCGAGATCAAGAGTCGCACGCTCCACTGACTGAGCCAGTCAAGCGCCCCGCTTTTCTGCCTTTGATACAAGGTTTGTTCCCTCATGTCATTCAGACCTCTTCTCAGATGCCACCTCCTCTAAAAGGCCTCCACCTACCACCTCCAGTCTCCTTTTAACTCTGTCCCTTTACCCTACTCTGTTTTGTTTCTTCATTTCTGCGTAACATACTGTATGTTATACTTACACATTCATTTTTGTGTCTCCCAATGCTGCCACTATGCGGCCAGAGACTTCGTCTTATGCACTGTTGGGCCCCCATGGCCTGGGTTAATACCTGGCACACAGTAGGTGCTCAATAAATATTTGTTAATTGACTGAATAAAGGAGTGTATTTGCCTTTGCTCAAGCCACTCCCTCCACCTGGAAAACCTTCCCTTCCCCTTCCTCCCTTTCCTAATGCCACATACCTGTTAAGACTAAGCCCTAGTCCCTACTCTTCCATGAAGCCCTCCCTGACTACCTGGGCTCTGGGCCCCCGGAAGGTGGCTTATTCCTGTCCTTCCCTCACTACACTGCTTGATTTTAGATGTAATGAAGGGTTTGTGGCAAGTAAAGAGGTGGAGATTGAAGGCAGAAGAGAACAGGCCAGCTTTATTGGGATTAAGAGGAGGAAAGGGCCGTCCACAGGCCCTGGGCCAGGGTGGAGCTGCAGGGACAGCAGCCAGGATGCCATGTCACTTCTTCCACTCCTTCTTCTCATAGTCCCACCGGGAGGCTAGCCCTTGCACGGGGTTGCCCTTCATGTCCAGGATGCGCTGGAGCTGCTGGGCCTTCCACTCATCCGTCAGGGTGACGGGCTTCTTAGGGAACACTGCGGGGAAGGCACGGGTGGGGACAAGGGCATTTTAGATGCCTCGAGGTGTGCATCAGGGGAGGTCTGGGGGCAGAGCTCCCTACACAGCTCATACCTTGCTTCCTGGTCCATTTGTCCCTGAGGCTGACCCGGCCTGCCTGAGTCACTGGTACTTTCTATCCCAGTGTGTGGTAAAGAAGGAAAATATCTTTATGGGCCCCTATTAGCCCCAAACACTGGGCTAGGATAAATTTTTTCCCAAAGGCTCTCTCATTTCATCCTCAAGCAAAGCGGGAATTCACATCACACTCTCGCAGAAGAAGAAAGAAGGTGAGGCCATCAGAGGTGAGGTCAGCTGGCACAGAGACTGCCAGCTCTTCCCCAACATCCCCTCCCTTCTTCCAGAGTAGTGCCTCTCCAACCCGAGTGGGCAGCAGAATCACTCTGGAGAGCTTGTTAAAACACAGATTGCTGGGCTCCACCCTCAAAGTGTCTGACTTGGTAGATCCAGACTGGGGCTGAGAATGTGCATTTCTAAAAGTTCCCAAGTGATGGTGTTGGTCCAGGGTCTCACACTCTGAGAATTACTCTTCAGTAGTAATAGACAGCTGGGCATGTGACGGCCTCGCTGAAAACTACATTTCCCAGCTTCCCTTGTGGCTAGACCCAGTCATGTGATCGCTTCTAGCCAACGGGTGGTGAGCAGAAGTGGCCTGCGCAACTTCTGGACCTTAAAGAGGTCTCTCTTCTCTCTTCTTGGGTGGAATGTAGGCTTTAATGGCTGGAGCTGGGGCAGCCACCTTATCAAGAAGAAAGCTTCACGTTAAGGATGGCAGAGCAGTATGACAGAAGGAGCCTGACACTGCAGTCTCGATACTCCCCCAGGCCTTTTTGTGTGAGAGAGGAACAAAACCTGTATCTTGTTTAAGCTCTTGTATGTTGGTGACTCTTTGTTACAGAAAAATACATGGCTAATAACAGCAATCAGTAACATTACCATTCATGATTATGTGCCAGACGCTGGCTTTAGGCTCTCTCATTAAATCCTCACAAACCCTGTGATGTGGGCACTATTCTTTTCATTTTACAGACAAGGGAATTGAGGTCCAGAGAGGCAGAGCCCCTACATCCCAACCAAGGCAGCTGTGCTCTGCCCTTCACCCTACACCTCTTTGGGGGACTTTTCAAAACTCTTCAGACGAGTTGCCTTATAAGAGCTTGGCTGGTGGCTCTGACCACAAGGGCGTGGCCCCGGGCGGTAGCAAGGGCGGGGGTGGTTGTTGCCACTCACCATAGATCCGCTGCCACCAAATCATCAGAGCTGTGAATCCAAAAAAGAAGAAGACACAGCCCATCACTGTCTTCCATTCATTGGAGCGACGGTTCATCTCCGCGAAGGTCTCATGGAACTGGAGCCGGTACACTGGAGGCAGATGAGGGGTGAGGAGGTAGGGGTCTCGGGCGCATGGATTCCGAGGACCCTGGACCAAGTCTTGGCCTCAGGGATTCCCAGCCTCCCCGTCCCTGAAGCAGGTATCGTCCATTCAGCAAATTCTTATTGAACATCGACCGTATGCAAAGCATGGCCAGAAGCAGGCTCCAAATATGAGTCCTTCGGGGGCACCTCTGGTGGGCAGGACTTGGGATTGCACATCCCTCCGGTTTCCCGGGGTCAGGCCCCTGCTCTCCCACCCACCTGCCTCTCTGCTCCTTCCCCCCACACCACTCAGTGATGCCCACACTTTCCTGCTCCTACATCCCTCCCCATGCTATTCCCACTACCAGGCAGCACCCTCGTCCTTATCATTCAAGGCCAGCCAGAATGTGCCCTCCTCTGAAAGGCCCACCAGGATTCCATGTCTCTCTCCTTCCGGTCCTCACAACCCCTTGGACACACACCTCGCCCTAGCCGCAAAATTCATATTACAGTTATCTGGGTTTGTGTCAGTTCCCCCACTGGCCTGAGAGCACCCTGAGGGCAGGAACCATCTGGGTGATTCACTCCTGTATCCCAGCATCACCTCGCATCTGACTGTGCACAAATAGTTGAATGAATAAGAGAATAGATGAACAAAGGGATAAACTTCACCCCTCAGGTATGAGTTCAGGCGTTCAGGGGTTTCTGGCTGTCTTGAGTGGGGGCCCTTCTTTTCAAAGTCACCCCCCCCCAGCCCGCTCTCTCCAGACAGCCTC